TATTTCATTTAATATCACACTGTATTGATATAAGGAAGAAGGAATGATAAAAGGAAACAAAAAGAAGCTGATAATAGAACAGAAATGAGAAAAAAGAAAAGATAAAGACATATCAGAACAAGCATGTCAGGGACGGAAGTCAAAACAGCTAGATACAGAGCTAGATACTTATGAAAGTTAAGTTACATAATTATTACTGAATAATTAAGATAAAATCGTGTCAGGTTTAATGCAAAATCAACACACACAGGGGAGGTCGTCCTTAAATGAACATAGCAGTTGCTAGGACGTTAAACAATGCTAAACCAAACTAAACCAAATCCAGCATGTAACTGGTAAAATGTCTTCACCCTAGGCCGCTTGGTTATTAAGAAGTTGTTAATATTTTTTTGGAAATATTTGACCTCTGTGACATTGAAAACGGGAGAAGTTCATTCATTTAAACAAACTTGGTAGCCTTTCTAGCCAAATATCATTACCTCAGAAGAAGTTGTTTAAAGTTTTTAAACATATTTGACCCCTCCGACCTTGAATATGTAAGTCAATGTCATTCATTTTAACAAACTTGGAGCCCGTCATTCTAGCATGATACTTGCCAAATATCCTCCTCCTAGGACTTTTGGTTAGTGAGAAGAAGTTGTTTGTAGTAAACAGTTGACGACGGACGGACGACGCACCACGGATAAGTTCAATTGCCCTTCGGCAAAAAAAATGATCTGTTGCCCCAATTTTAACATTATCTTTATACTTTTTCACTTTTCCTACTTTTTCTCGTGGGAGGAGTTGCCCTAGAAATTTCCGTCTTCATATGATATCACCTGTGGTGAGAACATTTAACGTCATAAAATTCGAGACTCTTGTTGATTTGTTATTTTCATAAACCAAATGTCAAAATATTATGATTGATTTGTTTTTGTATTATGATTCATACTCGATCAGCTGTTGATATTGGATAGTTATCAATAAATAGGCTTGGGAACAGCTGCTTTACCTTTACACCAGGTAATGTATCGTTAAATATTACTTTATGCCCATTTCACCTTTTCATGTTGTGGTTCATTACTGATCGATATCAGATTAAAGCTTGGAAGGCGCAGGTTTAATGTATATAAAAGAGCATATGATTGGTACCATACATCAATTTGCGTGTATTGAATTGTGACGAAAGTCAGTTTCAGAATAACAGTTTTTAGCTCACCTACCCGAAGGGCAAGTGAAGTGAGCTTATGCCATGGTGCAGCGTCCGTCGTCCCCGTCCGTCAACTTTTCCTTTAAAACACTACTAGTCCTGAACAAATTTGGTCTGGAGCATCCGTGGGCCAATGGCTTTTAATTTTGTATAAACAGTTGGTGTGGCCCCCTGGGGGCGAAAGAGCGGGGCCGTTTAAGGAATATAGAGGTAAAACTCTTAACATCCTTCTTCTACCGTAAGGATTAAGGCATTTTCCTAATTAAAGCCTGGAGCATCCTGGGGCCAAGGGGGCTCAATTTTGTATAAACCGTGGGTGTGACCCCCCCCCCCCCTCCCAATGGGCAGAGGAACGGGGCCCAAAAGGGGTAATAGAGATAAAGCCTTGAAAATCCTTCAACGATAGGGATTAATGGATTTCATCCCAGTTTGGTCTGGAGCATCCTTGAGCTAAAGGGACTCAATTTTGTATAAACGGTTGGTGTGGCCCCCCTAGGGGCAGAGTGACAGGGCCTTATAGGGGGAGAAGAGGTAAAACTTTTAAATACTTATCATACCATAGTCATTAAGGGATTTTATTCTTTAGCATCTTTGGGACAAGGGCACTCAAATTTGTATAAACGGTTGATGTGGCCCCCTGTGGTATAGGGACAGGGCCTAATGGGAAATAGAGGTAAAACCTTTAAAATCCTTCTTCTATCATGGGCATGAAGGGATTTTATTCTTATTTAGTCTGGAACATCTTTGGGCCAAAGGCACTCAATTTTGTATAAAATAGGAAATATGGTAGGATTTTGTCCAAATATGGTATGAAGCACCCTTGGGAAAAGAGGAAACATTTTTTTTTTATAAACGGCGGGAATGACCTCTCTGGGGGCAGAGAGGTGGGGCCCAATAGGGATATAATATCCTCCTTCTTCCATTGACATTAAGGTATTTTGACCAAATTTGAACAGTAGTATCCTATGGGGAAGGGAAATTAATTTTGTATATAATGGTGGGTCTGACCCCTTTGGGGGCAGAGGGGGCCAGGCCAAATAAGGGAAAAAGCATTTTTTTTCAAATTCTTCTTGACCTGTAGGAATGACAATAGAAAATTACATAGAAATATAACCCCTGACTAACCATGTAATACACTACCAGCAACATTTGGCTATTCCAACTTCAATTTGGCTAATATTTCCAGGTCAGTAAGTTCAAATTCTTTGAAAATATAAAAGTCCAGGTGTCTACAATATTCACTCAGAAATGTTTTTACTAAATCTATTTTTTCTGATGTTTCGTGGTTTCATTAGAGAATCCCAAAAATATCCTATTGCACGTATATCGTAACAGGCGACTGATTTGATGCCCCTGCATTCTTTCGGAGTCTCCTTCTGTGTCGTCTAATAAGATGACACGAAAGAGTCCTAATTTGATCTGCTGTCATTTTTACAACACCTAGATCTTTTTCTATTCTTAACTTTCCTGTCTTTTTCCACCGGTGGTGTCTACTTCTGCACCAGTCTTCATATTACCCTCGTTTTTGCAAGAACGTTAAACGCCGTGAAATAAAACATCTGTTAATTCACCAAGATAGAGCATTCTTGGGCAAAACGAACTCTTATTTTGTTGAGGCAGGGGGTAGGGGGAATAGTGGTAATCCTGGCAATATTTTTCTTAAACCATATTAAGAGCGAAGCAGCCCCCCCCCCCCCCCCCCCTCTTAACAGAGGTATACATATAGGACCAAATAAGGTAGGAGTGTTGCTGAGAGACAGATATCGTGTTTCTCTCTACTTCCTAACGATCTTTCAGTTTCTTATTGTCTTGTTTGACAATGATTCGCCTTGGTGTTGCACGTTCCCACAAGCGTATAGAAGGCAGTTGATTCTGACCGGAACATACAAAAATAATGAGTGGTATGTTTAATTCGCTGCTTAACGTCCAGCATTTTAGGTAACGACAACGATTGATTACCCCGCTATCCGGAAAGTGTAGCTAGATGGAATTCTGTCCTGGTTGTCTTTAGGATGGGATTTCAGTGGGGAAGTCGAACAAACTAAAGTCAACATCAGATCCACCCAATCGCAAGGAGGCGTATGCCCCTCCATACCGCATCCTGCAGACATTTGCATTGTATAATTCACCCTTTGAGACACGTCCTTAAATGACTATAAATGTTAATAGGACGTTAAATAAAATATAACCAGAACCTATTTATAGAAACGGTCAATCTCATTGCATAGCATGCCATAACCGATTTACAGTAAAAAATGTTCTACAATTTTAAGCTACATGGTCTGTTCCAACAAAATATAATAATTATTATTATTGGATTCTTAACAGCACATCAACACAAACACTTTTGGTCATTAGAGTCAATGAAATGTAGATTAATCATGTTAATGAACTGACATCAAACGAACTAAAAGGTAAAAGACAAACGTCAACTCGAAAAACAAAAGTTGCTATTGTTAGTTATATTTTCCCGAACAGACTCAGTTTTAGGTAGGCTAGAATTGTAGAGATATCTACTGTTTTGAAAAGAGATTTGAGATCTGTTATATTATTATACAAAGTTTACCTTTTTGGCTGAAGGTTAATGCAGTCTAATAGCAAGTGTTTTAATGTTTCGGTTTGATTTTTTTTTAACGTCCTATCAACAGCCAAGGTCATCTAAGGACGTGCCTGTTTTAATGTAAATTGTTCGTTGCATGCCTCGCACTGAGGCTTGTTTTCGCTTTTCACTGAATAAGAATGGGTAATGTATGAATTATCGACCCGGAGACGGACAAGGACAACCTCGTCTCGGCGGTTTTCTCTTTTGCTGGGATAACTAACGATAACTGCCTGTAACATTTAAATTGACGTTTGATCATTGATTTGTATCCTTAAACGTGTTTTAGCGATCATTTATTAGCCATAATGACCATTCCCGTGTTGATGGGCTGTTTAAAATGTAATAATAAAAGTATACAATGTACAATGAATTTGTTACTGGAAGAACTCGGACCTCTTCCGCCATCTGGTCAGAAAAGGACATGTATTATTGGGGAACACATGTTATTGTTGATTCGCCTCAATTTGAACAATATGAATTGATCATGTTTACTATGTATACGTGTCAAAGTGTATAAAAACAAATGTCGTTTAATCTGATCAGCCTATAGGAAAGATGGCATGGCGTAGACAAGATATTGTAAGTATCACATTATTTTTTTTTTAAGGTTATTTAATTATCACTCTTAACATTCGCATGTTTTTTTTAACTTTTTAAAATTTTAAATGGAATCTATGACTTTGGAATGTATCCATGTAAACCGAACGGGGAGCTTTGGAAATGTTTTGTTATAAGTTTTAAAAGTATCAAAAAGATCGGAACATACTTTTTTTAAATATATGTTAAATTCAAAATATTTATAGCGAATGTTGAATAAAGGGAAAACATGGAAATCAATAGATATTTATTAGTAAATACAGATTTAATTTCCCTCGACATTAAAATAGGGCCAAGATGCGGCTTTAATCACTGATGTGTAATGATAGTAAATTAAACTACATTTTCAATTATTCTTTGGGGATAAGAAATTGTTCATGATTAAATACAGAATATTACAGATGATGCAACGTATATTTTTAGAGACCCGTTCTGCGGTTTCTGGTGATTACCCTGATCGTCCTGCTTCTTGTGATGCTGGTGTTGCGGTATTATCACACTGGTTCATTGATGACATCAACCTTGAACAATGATCGTAAGAACAGAGGATTTATTCAAACCTCAAACAACAATCTGGAAGATTTTGCATTTAAATCTTTTCTTGAGGATTTTATGATTTCGACAAATTACAGCAGTTATAACAGTCGAGGAACGAGATATATCGTGTATGACTGTTCCAATGCCTGGGAAGGTGATTGCGGCGGCTGGTCCGATAGAATCGCCGGTATTATGACCACCTTTGTAATATCCATACTTGCAAAACGGCGTTTTCTGATTAACTTTGACAAACCTTGTTTCCTTCGTGACTATGTCGTTCCAGCATTCTTTGACTGGCAATACAATCCCTCCTTTCTTTGGAATAAAACAAGTTCATATTACAAACTACGTAATAATAATTATAAACAAATAGAAAAGTATATGTTTGGAAAAGAAGACATCAACAACTACTTTCGTAAAGATGTAATTTTTCTCCGTATGAACTGGGACTTTACAAGTGACTTCAGAAAAAGACCAAACATAGAAAAAGATATTCCATGGATGATGAAGTTTCACCAAGCGGATATTTACAAACACTTTTTAGATGTTTTATTTAAATTGTCGCCTGCCCCTGTAAGTGCGTTAAACGAACAATATCGAACACAGCGTAAACGAAACAAATTAGCGTGTGTCCATATACGTCATGGAACTAATCCAAATATGCCACGAGACAACAAACGACCTGAACAACCTTTGGACATTTTGTGGGGATTGTTTGACACATTAAACAAAGATGAGTACGATTTGTTCGTTGCTTCCGACACGGACAGTATAAAGGCGTTAGCTAAGAAACGTTACCCTCAAAACATGCTCGACACACCAGGAAGCATTACGCATATTGACCAGCCGCATAAAAACGATCCACGCGAAGGATTTCTGAAACAGTTGCTGGATTTCTATACATTAGTCAGTTGCGATATTCTCATTATTCCTTCTAGTGGGTTTAGCATATTAGCTGCCTTTGTCCGGAACATAGACACTGGATTGTACTGCTGGCGAGGACAGGATCTTATACCTTGTTCTAGATACACAATCAATGATATATTCCCCAAAGGCAAATACGGGATTAAGCCAAAAACATATAGGAATTAAAGAGACCTCGTACCTAAGTATACTGAAGTAGTTATAAAGTTACTTTATTGCAAATAATGTAGCAATATGTTACCTTTACTTTCTTTTACATGCATATATTGCAGTGGAGATTTTGTATTTAACGTAATTAAAATGTGAATTGATTTGGCTTTGTAAAGGGGGATGATTTGCTGCACTATTGCAAATAAGCTTGATTTCTGACAGCGTATTTCAAACAAAGCAGTTAGGCGTTCAAAAAACAAAAGATATTTCTTTTAAAATCAGCTGTTGGTTTGCTTTTATTTTGTTTAACGTCCTATCAACAGCTAAGGAAATTTAGGAACATACCTCCAGTGTATGTTGTGTATGCATGCTTGCATGTGTATTCAGGAGGCAGGATATTGTGTGGTTATGCCTCTTTGTGATAGCGCGGATCCGATGCGGACTTTATAGTGCTATCTCACTGAAATACCATGTCGAAGGTACACAGCATGCTTGTAATTCAAAATTTATTTGCTATGCGTATTCTGTCTTTTCAGTCAGTTACCGGTTATCTTTAATTTGTTTGTTACCGTATCCCATTGAGACATGTTGTCACAATCTTAAGCACTTTTCGTCACATGTTGTCACATTTGATATAAGTTGAGTTCTAAAAAAGTTCCAATGCTTTAGTACGGCGAAGATAAGACTCTAATCGATCGTGATTTAGTAACTGCCCTGTCAATGTAAGCCTGTAGTTCAGTGTTGGCTCAGACAAGACCTAAGATATGAGGGCATACTGGTATTAATACGAGATGTCTCTAACATTGACAGGACATGTCGGAATAAACGGAAATGAGAAGGTAGATAAAGCTGCAAAAGCATCCCTTAACCTACAACCAAACGATATTATTAAAACGAATTGGCAAAATAAATGGTCTGAAGAATTAAACACAAAGTTATTTGAAATTCAATCTTATTTGCAACAAGTAGAATGCGCTGATTTCAAACAAATACTTGACAGATTTTTTGATGTACCGTCTATGAAAAGATTATTCGATACAGTTTCTGTGCAATTAATATATGACTAATTACACTCTTGATCTTTACAATAAAATATGATATATTGTGCAGCCAATTTGTTCGATAGTGATGTTTCTTTTAACTCTTTACATATCCAGTGATAAATCTAGGATTTGTTTGAGCGAGTCCTTGGGACCCACCTGTTCTGGACCCATGGGTCCCAGCAACTGCTGCCTATGGCAGTAGTCGAGGAGCGAAGCGACGAGATTGGGGTGGGGGCTGCGGCCCCCCCTGAAATTTAAGAATGTAGATGCAAAATCCTGCATTCTGAGCACATTTCAAGTAACAATTCCTACTTTTGACGTTGTCATAAAATGGTGGTTTTTTTCAATTATTTAGAAAAAACAAATTATTACTGTATGCCATTTTTTTCCCAGTTTTAGGTACACATGTTGCAGTACACAATACTATTTATCATCGTACACTAGCCACGCGAACAGCGATAGTCAGTTCCTTTTGAAAACTCGAGTTTTCCATGGCTTTTCTGGAATTGCCGCCTCCCCCTCTTTATCCACCACATCTTCTCTCTAATGGTCTTCGACATGACGCTATTCCATGAGAGAAAACAACGTTGGTTGTGCCTTCCCCAGTCGTAGGACTTTTTTGGGAGGCATTGTTTACATTCGTCGACAGTCAACCCTGCTCACTGAACTAATGCGCGATTGGCTGGTTACCGGGAATCGGTATCCAATCAGCGCGTCGCTTACATGTATATCAAAGACCCGTACGCTATAATAAGAACAGGAAATTTCCACCACGGGAGTTCCACACATGATCGATGATGAAAAGCAAAAACGACACGGGACAGCATCTTTTGATTTTGGTCAGATTTATTTGTTAACCAGTTTGACATGAGGTTGTACAACATAAGTATCTCCTAATTTTGTATGCGTCCCTAGGACGCTCATGGTTAGAATATGTGCGTCCTTTTCAATTTGTATGCGTCTCAGACGCAGGACGCGCACGTAGATTGATCACTGCATATCTTACGCTATTGAGTTTTGGTTTGATGTTTATTTTCGTGATTGTCTCCTTATAGAGTGTTGTTGTCCCTAAATGACTCACATTGTCGATGGGCCGTTATACAATACAAAACAAACGAAACAAGTCAGGACATCTCTAAAACCACAACCAACGACTGCATTGTCGTTGCGCCAACTAATTGAGCTTGTCTTTGATTGTTTTTGTAATGCTTGCATCATTTTGGATTCCAGAGAATGGTATACTGTGTCCAAAATGTAGCCATCAGGTAGAGCTGTGCTTATGAATTTTATGATAATTACACCTATTAGTCACGGTGAGACATTCGCTAATGCTTATGGTCAGTGCCTGTTTTAATATAAATATATATACCATCTAGTACGGCAGTCGCTCTGTCGCCAAAGAATGTTTCTGAGAATATAGTATTGTGTGAAATGGTCAGGATCAAGAAACACAGAACTATATATATGTATTCAATGCTTGTACTACAGAATGAAAGGTTTTGGAAATACTAGACAGGGAAATGATAAAAAACAGCAAAAACCCGTTTCAAGAGATATAACGTTTTGGCCTAAGTATTGATTTGTTTCACTTTGAATTAAAATTGTTTAAACAAAGACAATTTTGTATGTGAACACGACCCGTTAAACAAGTCCTTGATTGTTAAGAGGACCCTTCAGGTAGGGCGTAAGAATTGTACCTACTGCCCCCAATTGCATAATCGTAAGAGGCGACTAAATTTGGGACCTTATCTCTTCTCTCCTTTCTAAATAACTTTATTCTTCCTAATGTCTCCCTTGACAATGCCTCACTTTTGGCCATTTGTTGAGCGTTCGCCCCTGTGAGGAAGGCTTTGGGTTCTGTCCCCTGGCCGAGACATACCAAAGTCTTTAAAAATGGTAGTTTCTACTCCTGCTTAACGCTCAGCAAATTAGGAGTGGGACGACTGGTTCGCCCGTTGTCAGTATAATGTGACCGGGTGGGGCGTCCTGCTGGGTGTCTTCGGCAGTATGTTTCAGTGAGGTAGCACTATAAAGTCGGCATCAGTTCCGCGCTATCACAAGGAGACAAACACGAACATATCGCAGCCTCCCAAAATACACACACATACACTACACGCATGCATCTTGCACACAGGGGAGGCCGTCCTTAAATGACCTTAGCTGTTAATAGGACGTTAAACAAAATCAAACAAACAAACAAACAAAATGATTGTTAAGAGAGGAAAAGTACTCGTAGTTTCCCCTTCCAAACGTTGTTTCAGATTCTTGCGCAGATACCTAATGTCACAAAACAGACGCATACACTACTACACGCATGCATTTTCCACACAGGAGAGGCCGTCCTTAAATGACCATAGCTGTTGATAGGACGTAAAACAATAATAAACCAAACCTAACCTAATGTCACAAACATCATCAACACGGCATTGTCTTCTTCAACGGAACTACTGCTTTATTGCATTTTGTTTGACTAATATTACAGCAGTGTATAATTGACAGACTGCAAGACTGACTCTAGATCCGGAACATCAGATATCATGTTCTAAGGGAAGTAACACTTAAAACATGTACAATTCAATAAACTAGTCTGAGGGGCCCTTTTTGAAGGTAGGTGAGCCCCCCCCCCTGCTGTTAAAGGGTGGCCTCATTTTTTCATAAGTATGGACCTTCTAGAACATATTTCAGCTGGCCACCCCTCTGGGAAATCCACTGGGGATTTTTTGTGGGGTCATATACAACGTATCTCGGCCAAAAAATGTGATTTTGAATAAAGGGGGGTAGGGATACAGAAAGGACTATATCATTTCTCATCATCATATGAATAATTCGATGGTATATATAGATCATGTATGCATCACTATAAAGTTTGCAGTTTGACTTCCATTCTAAAGGTCAAATCAAGGTCAAAGGTCAAAAAACAGTAAAAAATATCGGGGTTTTTCCGAGACACTCTTTATTCTTTATTGTACATTCAACAAAAATACAAAACTTGATCAAGTAACTTGTTTTATTTGTGCCACGGGTAACATATCAATATTTTGTATAACCATTTCCTTGTAATTCAATGAGGGGGAAAATGATGGCTACTTTTTATGTATATTGTTATATAGAATGGATTTACAGATTCTGGGGGTAGGGATGCAGTAATGGGTGTAACTTATGTTATAGTCATTCTTCCCATTAATGGATGGTAGTTATATGTTGAGCATGCATAGGCCATACTTTCTTAAGTTATACATTTTTGTTTGACGCTACTGCCAAGGTCATATCAAGGTCAAAATTCAACAGTAAAAAATGAGAATCAAATTTTTGTTTAATATTATTGTCCTAAATTGTTCATAATAAACACCCATTAAGCATGTTTTAGCCGATCTCCTTAAAAAAATAAGAGGCATACTGCCAAAGTCATATCTTGTAAGGAGCTATATATATAGATTGTGTGGTATTAGATATCATTCCCAGGGACATTGTGTCGAGGACAGATAATGTCCTTTTTATCAGGATCTGTGAATGTGTTCATACCAGAGTGGTGATAAGTTATTTCGTATTCAATGTGGTGAAGAAAAACTTCCAAAATGAAGTAATATTATATACTGGGAAATTTTTGTCCTACACTGATAAAATCCATATTCACCAAGTGTAAATTTAGCCCTTCATATGTAATTATGATATAGGGTAAACCGTGTACTAATTATTCACTGTCGCAATGAATTCGCCCTTATTGTGAAAATTTAACCGCAGCAAATTTTCCTTTGATCAGTGATCTGATATCTGAATGCATAAATAACTACGTATACAGCAACACTGATGCATTGCAAGCAAAGTTGTAAGAACCTTTGTTGGAGGTCATATGGATTTTGAGGCAGACATTATCAAATCCAAATAACTGTTATCTTATTTCTTTACCGCATGACAAATGATGGCATACAAAAAGATAAACCATGATCGTCTATCCAAATAAACGATACTTACAGAAGGAAATAAAGTAAAGACAAACACAAAGAATCAACATGTTTCCTCTCTTATTAATACACATCCATTTATTATTTCA